TCTTTCCCTGGGACCTGCTGGTCCTAGAAACAGGAACTTCCCAGAAACAACCCTACAGGCCTCTTTTGGTGGGTTCTGCAGTACCACCTAGGGCTGATTATGTCACTGGGTCTGTGTAGTTTATTTCATTCAAGGATGACACTGAAGAGCAGGACTGGGTTTCAACCAGAGTCTTATTTGATGACTAGAGAAATCCGCTTACAGACTTAACCCAAGTAGTTGTTCCATTTGTGGCTTCACAGATAAAGGGCTAACAGAATTTTCTTAAGGGATAACTAAAAAGACAGAAGCAGTCATCAATTAGCATATCTTTTACTCCTCAACGTTCTTCCTTTAAGTAACTTTTTGATTTACGTTACCTCTTTAGTCTTCCTTCTCCACCTTCCCCAAGTATACTTTTATACTGCTCCTGCCCCTTAAAGTCTATCATTTTTGTCACCCTGGGGTCCCTTGAATGGTTTTTTGTTCCTTGTTCTCATTTACTTCACAGTAGCACTCAAAATATGACTCAAAAAATGTGGACAATGGTTAGTTAGTAGTTATACCGTGAATTGTTTGCTTTTGATGTATTTCATGAGTTATGGAAATACGCAAATAACACACATTCACATACATGGATAGATTACTGAGTTGTCAAATAATAGTCATTTCTGGCCAGTAAAATTACAGGGAATTTATATTTCTAATTATATATTTTCATAGGATTGAAATTTTTTGTAGTCAACAAAAATTTCCTTTTTCCTTTTTTCCTTTTTAAGTTTATTTATATCTTCTGTGAGCCAGAGAGCAAGTGAGAGATGGAGAGACCATACCTCCAACAGTTACTTGATGATGTCATCTGCCCCCCAGCCTCAGCCAACCCCGGACCATGGGCACACATGTGGCGAGATTACTTAGTATTTAAAATCTTTTATTAAAAAAAAAAAAAGAAAATTACAATTCCAACTAAAGCAGATGCCAATACAACAAAACAAGTTCCACTATCTGTGTTCAAACGATTTATCTGACCCTTACAAAAGAAGAGCATGTATCATTGTGTACATACATCTGAAATAAGAATGTAGAAGCCTACCAGCCTTAGGAAAAGAGGTTATAAAACCCGGAAAAAATACCTTTCTTACCCCCTTCTCACTTTAAAGTCCATGAAAACATCAACACATTCAGAGGATAGACTGTGGAAGGGAAATAATTTTCTATTTTTCTACCTTGTATCTGGGTGATTTTGGATTGGTTTGGGGATAATATCTGGATTTCTCTCTCCTGGGCTGTTTTTTTTTCCAGTAATATTTCTTTGATATATGCTTAAATGTTTATTTTTAAGTGATATAACTTTTCAGAAAAAACTTAATAAAGTTTATTTCTGTGAAGAAAATATTTTTTGTATTTTTGACTGTTTTTTGTTCTTTCTCTTTTGAAATCTCTAGCCAACAAGAACATTAGTCATGACAAGCATGCCATCTGAGTAAGTACTCATTGTTTTGATAACTTCCTATTCAATGTAAAATTTTAATTTTTTTCTCTATAACACTAGCAGTTCGTATATCTATACTGTATGTATCACTTTTACTTTATATAATTAATATCTGAATTAGAAGATCATTGGAGATTCAGAATGTGAAGAGGTAGGTACTGAAAATTTTTAGAGGTTCTTTAAGCCCTAATAAGTCATTGATTCTGTACTATTTTTGCTGTTCTGTTTCCATACTCAATACTAATAGCTTTGTTTATCCACCACCCTTACCCCCATAAATCTTCAATTAAAGGAGCAATTTTAGCCAAAACATTTCCTTTATAGGCCTTAAAGAAATGCTGACAAAGTTTTCTACAGCTATATTAAAGTAACTCTCTACGCTTTTTGTTGGAAGGGTTAATAGCTTGCTGGCATGTTCTTATCATCTTCCTTAAACATTTAACACAATAAAAAAAACATCCAACAAAAATACAGTACTGTATTCGTTTTAACAAATTATTGAATTCCTGTTTAAAGGGAAAAACCATGTTTTGTATATCATTTATAGGTTTTAAGGTTTAAGGCATTCATCAGAACATTGTGACATTTGAGTGAAAAAATACACTGTATCAAGATTGCATGTTTAGAACATTTTCTCTAGCAGGATCCTTGTTCTGCCTACAGCATGAAAATGAAAGGATTGGCAAGTCAAACACTGTACATTATATAGTGGACAAGGAGCTCAGTCAAAATCTTTGTAAATGTTGAAGTTATGAACTACATTAAACATTCTGAATAGTGTAATACAGAAATCAATATTAAATATATTATTTTTGAAGTCTGTTTTTTCTCAAAATTAAAAAATATTAATACATGTTATTTTCTCATTCAAAGGTTGAAAAATAAAATTTTCATGTAGGCAGTATTTCTTTTATTTATTTTTTTTTGGGGGGGGGCATATAGACTTCTTGTGTAAGTTAAGAAAAAGACCTGGTCCTCCTGATTCCATATTGAGTAACTTTATCTTGAAGAGCCATTTGGAAGTTATTAGCACATTCCACAGTTAGCTGGTAACTGCCAGACTTAAAATGGAGAAAATCAGATACTTAGAAATGGAGAATTCTAGAGAGCATTCAGTTTAGAGGTTTTTGCTTCTTTTTGGTTTTATTTATTTTTTTCTTTTTTGCCTTGATTTTTTTCCAAGTTAATATTTTTCACAACCCCACAGATTAAGCACAGATTCTCTGATTGAAGTGGTGATGGTGCCCAGATCTTGACCCACTCAACTTCTCCACTCAGGATCTCTAAGAATTTGAAATCATGGTATAGTTCAGTCTTTTCATTTTACAGGTAAAGAAATTGTGGTCTCAAGATGGATATACCCAAGATCACTGGAAATAAAACTTTTAAAAAAAACACATAATTTGTAGGGAAGAGTATTAGAAATAGTATGTATGGACAATAATAACCTCTCTTCCTTTGTAATATAATTTTTGGAGAGGAGATATATTTATTTCTTAACTTTCCATGTACATTATACTGTGGTTTAGAAAGCTTTTCATATCCTTTGTATTTTACTGATTACACTGAGAACTTACATACAGAGAAAGAGAAAGAGATAGAGAAAAGCGATGCATCAGAAATAAAGGCATCAGAGGACCAGCCAGTGGTGTGGTCGTTAAGGTGCCTGAATCCCACATGGCCAACTGTGCAGTTAGTCCCTGCTTAAAACCACTCTAGGCATATGTGCATGGGTGCCCAAAATCTCAATGGAAGAATGGAGGAATGGAGGAGAAGGGATTGCTGCGTGACCATCCCCCCATGGTGGGGGCGGGTCGCTTTCTTGTTTTCCCTCTGTCTCTCTTTAGTGAGTGCATGCACCCTATAGCAAATTTTTTTTTAAAGAAAGAGATGCATCAGAAAGATTATTGTAAAAATAAGAGAGGAAGACTCAGAATTATTTGGTAAGGAAGTTAGAATAGTTCATTAAAAAAAATAAAAAGGATACTCTGTACCAGCAGCTGGCACAATGGTTACATCTCTGAACTCCCACATAGTTGACCACAGTTTGAGTTCTCGGACCTGGCAGCTTAAAACTCATGCTAGGCACATGTGTATGCATGCCTAAGATCCCAAGAGGATAATGGAAGACAAGAGAATGCAGCGTGGGCATCCATCCTGGGAAGTGATTTCTCACTTTCTGTCTCTCTATCTCTCTCTGTCTCTCCGGCAAGCACATGTGCCCCATGGCAAAAATCTCTCTTTAAAAAAATGGCAGGGAAGGACCAACAGATGGCCTAATAGTTGCATCACTGGACTCCCACATAGTCCACCACAGTTTGAGTCCTGGACCTGGTGTCTTAAACTTGCACTGGGTACATGTTCGTGTGTGCACAAAATCCCAAGAGGAGAATGAAGGAGAGGGGATTGCGGTGTGGCCACCTCCTCCTGAGGGGTGACTTCTTGCTTCCTCTTTCTCTGTCTTCTGGCAATTGTGTGTATATAGGGAAAAAAAAAAAAAAAAAAAAAAACCTCTGTCTTAAAAAAATAAAAATTAAAAGGATACTTAAGGCATTAAGAGAATGACAGATCAGAAGATAAGAATAGTGAATTTTGTGAAATTAAGGAGCCTCTGTTAAAAAAGCCCTTTGATTTGATCTGACAATTTAACAGAAAGGATAGTATCTTTTTTTCCTCCTTAGAAAAACTGTATTTGACACTCAATACATGTATTTTCAAAATAAAATAAGTAAGTTAGAATTTTAGTTCTGAACATGCATAAATTGGTTCAAGTAGACATGAAAAGTAACTGGTGAAAGAGCACTGGGCTGGTATCAAGGGGTCTGCTTCCTGACTCTGGTTCTGTCCCTAACCAGCTCAGCAACAGCAGGTGAAACCATTTACAACCTCTAAGCTTTTTTCCCTCAACCCTTAAAGTAGATAGTTGGAGTTGAGATCTGTTTCATTTCTCCAGATTTTAAGTCATCAGTTGTAAAGCAATTAAGACATGGGAACCAGCAGTTAGCGTAATGGCTACGTCGCTGGACTCCCACGTAATCGACCACGGTTCGTGTCCTGGACCCAGTAGCTTAAAACTCACGCGGGGCACGTGTGCATGCGTGCCCAAGATCCCGAGAGGAGAATGGAGGAGAAGGGATTGCGGCGTGGCCATCCCCTCTGGGGGGTGATTTCTCGCTTTCTGTTTCTCTGTCTCTCTGTCTAGCGAGCGCACGCACCGTATAGCGAAAACCTCTCCAAAAAAAAAAAAATTAAAAAAAGAAATTAAGACAAGAGTACCGTAACCAAAACCAACCAAAATTTTTAACTTTATCATTTATTATGTCTGCAATCCTCTTAATGTTCATATAAAGCAAACATAGTCCTTTAGTTGATTTTTTTTCTTTTCTATTTCATAGAAAACAGAATGTCATCATCCAGGTTGTAAATAAACTGAAAGGCTTTTCATTTGCACATGAAGTCTGCGAGACTACTACACACGTGCTCGTGGGAAAGCCGCTTCGCACCCTGAACGTGCTACTGGGACTCGCTCGTGGCTGCTGGGTTCTTTCTTATGAATGGGTAAGCCCCACGCTTGCATTACATAGTAAAAACAGAAGGCATTTTGATAGACTTGGTCATCCTGAGGTGATGACGCTAAGACTCATGCTGCTGTATGCCCTTGTGAGTCGCATGTTTTCCTATGAACAGGGAATGCCACTCTTTCCTTGAGCATTTCTTCCTTTGGCTGACACCCTTCAGCCATGCTAAGCCTTTGGGGAACAAGAGAAGTGTCAGTGTGAAGAGCAGGAAAACAAATAGCCCTCAAGATAACGACCTCTCAGCCACTGGCAGGAATAAGATTAGAATGGACTTGAAATGAAAACGCAAAATTCTGTTCTCACAGTCAAATGAGCTCTCTTCTGGGTTTGACCAAGAAATAATGTGACCTATGCTAGTGATGGTTTGAAAAGCCAAAAGAATTCAGTGATTGTTTTTACAGATGGATTTACTTAGGATGAAACATTCTCATTTAATCCCATTTGGATATGCTTTATCTTACACATAACTATCTGTAGCATTATTTGCTTTTCCATGCATTAAAGGCAGTTTTTTTTTATAAGTTTATCATTGTTTTCATTCTTCATAAAAATTAAAATTGTCTATTATTTGTTCTATTTTTATTTTGATCCTCATCCTAAGGTCACTCAAAAGCATTGCTCTCTAATAAGAGCTCCTTTGTTACTTGTGTTACCATTTTGCATATAGTTAAGCCACCCCAGCCTCCTCCCTTCTCTAAGAATGTATTATATTAATACTATGTTAATTTAAGGCAGTAGAATTATCATATGCAAACAAACTGCCAATGTATTTTTAAGAATGGCTGTGGTCTTCTTCCCATGTGATAACCCTGAATCTTTCTGCTACAAGTTTAAGAGATTAGTGCTTAAAGTCATGCAGTATAAACAGTTGAAATTCCCCAAAAAGTGTACTGTTTGCGTTGGTGACAACTGGGGATTACCTTACCTAGTTTTATACTAGTATCATTTCATGTTTATTTGTATGAAATATAATTTATAACTCTAGCGTCCATGAATGAGTTTCCTGTTTTCCTTCTCCTCAGTTGAAATGTCTCTATCTTCATCTGTCAGCTCTTCCTTCCCTCACATTACAGAGGAAAAGATGTTCTTTATCTTTTAAAACTATGTCTATTCTTGATTCTGTAACCAATCTGTTCTTCTGGAGCATAAAGCATATGAGAATTTACTGCATTTACTTTTGGCATGCATAGAGACTGTCTTTTAGGACCAGCTGGTGGTGGGTGGTTAAGGCAGCTGGATCCCACATGACCAATGGCATGGTTTGAGTCCCAGACTTGGTGGCTTGAGAGACACCCTGGGTGTGTGTGCATACGTGCCCAAAATCCCAAAAAGAGAATGGAGGAGGGTTATTTGGAGCATGCCCATCCTCCCTGGGGGATGATTTCTCACTTGCCCTCTGTGTGTGTGTGTGTGTGTGTATGTGTGTGTGTGTGTGTGTGTGTTTCTTTCTGGCAAGCACATGTGTCCTATAACAAAAATAAAACAAACAAGTTTCTGATCAGTGTCATGCCACCATTTTCTCATTAATCATATATAGAAACAGAACTTGATACAAATTTAGATTATAGTAACTCTGTGTGGGGTTACCTAGCGTGAGAAAGGCAAGCAGTAAACACCTTCTTTAATAAACCTCTGACATTCTGTCTAGACTCTTGGCCTGGAAGGAAGAACCTGGGACACTGAGTCACTTAAGTAAATGAACTAAGTATAAATATATAAGGCAAGAAAAAGAAATAAAAGTCACTGAGGTTAGAAAAGGAGAAATAAATCTTCATATATCACATGATTACTTATGTAGGCAAATGTACAAAATTTGTAAAGAAAAGCACTTAGAGCTAATAACTGGGTTTAACAAATTAAGTGACAAGTTCGTATTAATATAAAGTCAACACTGAAATATTTAAGTATAATTCTAATAAGATGTGCAGAATCTGTATCTATGAAAATACTACAAAATGCTGATTTTAAAAATCAGAGAACTAAATATAAAGAGAGATGTATTGTGTTGAAGGATTAGAAGATACAATAAGGTTAAAATGCCACTTTTTCCCAAAATGATCTATAGATTTAGGACATTCCCGATGGAAATCTCAGCAGAATATTTGAAGACATAGGCATGCAGATGCTAACATTTACATAGCAAGGTCTAGGAACTAGTATAGCCAAAACAAATTTGAAAGAGAAGAATAAAATTGGAGGACTGACGTCTGATTTTGAGGCATCTCTTAAAGCTATAATAATCAAGGCAGTGTGATATTACTAGGTACATTGGAACCCACTGGAGAATCAGAAATATATCTACAAAAATAGGGCCCAAAGGATTTGACAGAGGCAGTCCACTGAAGAAATTTAGCCTTTTAAACAAATTTCAATTAATTCAGACAATTCAACCAATGGTACTAAAACAGTTAGACAACTATTAAAAAAAAAAAAAGAAAAGAAAAAGGAACCTCAACCTATATTTCATACAGTATCATACAGTATATACATATTACTTCAAAATGGAGGACCATAAACTAAAATACAAAATTATGAAACTCTGGGAGTTTTTTTGGGTATTTTTGGGGAGGTTTTTTGCTACAGAGTGCAAATGCTCACCAGAAAGACAGAGACAGAGAGACAGAAAGTGAAAAATCACCCCCCGGGGGAATGGCCATGCCATATTTCCTTATTCTCCATTCTCCTCTCAGGATCTTGGGCACGCACGCACACACATCCCGCGTGAGTTTAAGCCACCATATCCAGGACCCCAACCATGATAGACTACATGGGAGTCCAGCCACATAGCCATTATGTCAACTGCTGGTCCCAGGTCCCAAAATTATGAAACTCTTAAATGTAAGCACTGGCACAAAATCTTTAAGACCTTGGTTTAGGCAAAGAGTTATTACAACACCAAAACCATAATCTATAACATAAAACCATTGCTAAATTAAATTTCATCAAAACTAAAAACTTTTATTCTGTGAAGGACATTATAAAAAGACTAGAAAAAATATTTGCAGATCTCTTATCTGACAAAAGAATTGCATCCAGAATGTATAAAGAACTGTCAAAACTTAACAGTAAGAAAACACGCAACCCAAACAGAAATTAGCAAAAGAAAAAACTGAACAAATACTTTACTAAAGAAATACAGATGGCAAATAAGCACAAGAAAAGGTAAGGTGTTCACCATCATTGGCCATTAAAGAAATGTGTTTTAAACCACAGTGAGATGCTACTACATTTCTATTAGAATGGCTAAAATAGAAAGTATCAGCAGTCCTCTAGCAAGATACGAGACGGCTGGAAATCTCATATTCTACAGATGAGAGTGGAAACTGGGACAACCACTCTAAAAAACAGTTTGGCAGTTTCATATATAGTTAAATGTTTACTTACTATCTCACTCAGCAGTCCCACTCCCAGAGAAATGAAATCTTACCTTCACACAAAAATCTGTACAAGAGTGTTTATAGCATCTTTTCCTATAGTCACCCAAACCTGGAAACAACACAAATGCCCCTCAGTGAGCTGATGGATAAACAGTCTGGCTCACCCATACAATGGAATCCTACTTATTCCCATATGTAATCACTAGATATGAGGGTCACGTTAAGCCATTGGAAGGTTTGTATTGGGGCGAGGGTGAGGGACAATCTGATCTTGTGTTTTGCAAAGGACTGTGGCTGCTGCATGGAGACCTCACTGTGGTGAAGCACAAGTGGATTCAGGGAAACCATTGGCAGGCTGTTGTTACCAGTATTCCAGGTGGTAGAAAATAGCAGCTTGGATTGGAGCACGTTGGGGTACAGAAAGCAAGACATGCTCCAATATGGAGCTTACTATGAAGTGGAATTCAGTGCACTTTCTCATGGATGGGCTGCAGGATGTGAGGGGGAAGAGAGTTGGGGATAATTTGGAAGGGTCTTGCTTGAGAAACTGTAGGAGAATGAGTAAGACAATGATTTAGGAACAGTTTATTTCAGAGGGTACGGTATAGTGCACATCTTTTTCCTCCTACACACCAAGATAAAAATGCCAAGATTAGTACAAGCCATGACTGAAACAGCACAATCCAGGCATGGAGGCTTGTACCCTACTGGTTGGTATAGTGGCCTTGCTCCCAAACTGGCATCCACTGACTGATTGCCGAATGACAGTTGCACCAAGAACCCACGTGTCATCCTTGGGACTCTCGCCACATAGCCAACAAACACACTTTCTTAGCTTTTCTTAGATAAACACAAGGTAGCCTTTCCTTGAACAATTTTTTGTACTAAAAGCTTCAGAGTAATTGATTAGTTTTCTATGGCTGCTGTAACAAAGTACTAAAAATTCAGGGGCTGCAAAACACCCCAAAGTTATCATCTCACATTTTTGAAGGTCAGAGCCCAGAGTCTGTTTCACTAAGCTCAAATCAGGGTGTTGGCAGGGCTTCTATTCTTCTGGAGGCTCAGAGGGAGAATTTCCTGCCTTTTCCAGCCACATCCTTTGGCTCATGGGCCCTTTCAGCAATGACGTCACTCTGTTTCTTTCCTCACATCTCTGACTTGTCTGCCTCTATCACTTACTTATGTGGGTCCTTGAGATTTCACTGGACCCACCTATATCAGCAGAGCTTACCTCCCATTTCAAAATCCTTAATTGCATCAGAAAGTTTTTCACCACATAAGACAGCATGCTCATAAACTCAGGATTAGGTTGTGGACACCCTTAAGAACCATTCTGTGTACTCCCACAGGCACAAATGCATTAATTCCATAAGAGAAAAGTGTTTCATTGTGTTCCAGGTGGGTTACTTTTAATTTATTTGAATTCTATAAAGATAAACTTTTAAAAACATACAGAAGTGAGACCATGTAAACGAGAAAGCAGGGCTTAGAGTGATGCATTTACAAGCCAAGGAATACCAAAAACTACCAGAAGCTAGAAGAGAAGCCTGAGCCAAATTCTCCCTCAGAGTCCGGGAAGAACTACCCAGCCAACAACTTGACT